ACCGAGGTGTGTAACTATGGAGGAGGGCACCACACACGGCTAAGAGATTGTCTGTTGTTCGTTCTAGTGGTGCCCCCCCATATATATATATATATATATATAGGTGTGAGGGGGAGGGAGCAGCAGTAGGCGTGCCCCAAGTAGGACGAATTCTACTTGGGGCCTAATCCTATTCGGCCTCCCCCCTTTCCATGTTTTTCGGAGGGAGAAGGAAAGAGGAGGGGGAGAGAAGGAAAGGGGAGGCCGGATTGCCCCCCTTCCTTTCTCTCCTCTCCCTTTCCTTTCCCCCACCCTATTCGACCATATATGGGGTGCACCAGCCCACTAGGGGCTGGTCTGTCCCGCCCTACGCCCAATAAGGCCCGTATCTTTGCCGGGGGTGCCCGGAACCCATTTCCGGTGACCCGATACGTACTCGGTACCCCCGGAACACTTCCGCTGTCCAAATACTACCGTCCTATATATGAATCTTTACCTCTCGACCATTTAGAGGCTCCTCGTCATGTCCGTGATCTCATCCGGGACTCCGAACAAACTTCGGTCATCAAATCACATAACTCATAATACAAATCGTCACGGGACGTTAAGCGTGCGGACCCTACGGGTTCAGAACTATGTAGACATGACCGAGACACATCTCCGGTCAATAACCAATAGCGGAACCTAGATGCTCATATTGGCTCCTACATATTCTACGAAGATCTTTATCAGTCAAACTGCATAACAACATACGTTGTTCCCTTTGTCATCGGTATGTTACTTGCCCGAGATTCGATCGTCGGTATCCTCATACCTAGTTCAATATTGTTACCGGCAAGTCTCTTACTCGTTCTGTAATGCATCATCCCGCAACTAACTCATTAATCACATTGCTTGCAAGGCCTATAGTGATGTGCATTACCGAGAGGGCCCAGAGATACCTCTCCGATACACGGAGTGACAAATCCTAATCTTGATCTATTCCAACCCAACAAACACCATCGGAGATACCTGTAGAGCATCTTTATAATCACCCAGTTACGTTGTGACGTTTGATAGCACACAAGGTGTTCCTCTGGTATTCGGGAGTTGCATAATCTCATAGTCAGAGGAACATGTATAGTCATGAAGAAAGCAATAGCAATAAACTTAACGATCATTATGCTAAGCAAACGGATGGGTCTTGTCCATCACATCATTCTCCTAATGATGTGATCCCGTTCATCAAATGACAACACATGTCAATGTTCAGGAAACTTAACCATCTTTGATTAACTAGCTAGTCTAGTAGAGGCATACTAGGGACACTTTGTTTTGTCTATGTATTCACACATGTATCAAGTTTTTGGTTAATACAATTCTAGAATGAATAATAAACATTTATCATGATATAAGGAAATAAAATAATAACTTTATTATTGCCTCTAGGGCATATTTCTTTTAAAAACTCGATCCCGACTGAGGACGTTCGGAAACACAGAAAAATGTCACAACATGAGGAATGCTACGTATGTGGGGCACCTGATTAATGGAGTCATAGTCTTATTGAATGCACTATGGCAAGATGTGTGTGGTTTTTGGTGGATCGTGATCTACTAGAACATATGATAGCCATGAGGGAACCATCAACAAGAACATGGCTCTTTTCAATGATCGAAGTATTGAAGCATGATGAGCTAGTCATGATGTGTGTCACTTTAGGGGCTATCTGGCATGCACGAAGCAAGCTGATACATGAGGGTATAACTCAAAGTCCTTACGACACACACATGTTTGTTACCAATTTCATTTCCGAGCTTGATCAGCTCAACAAGGTGACTGACATTCACGCAATATTAGGAGCTAGGCTAGTGCGGCAGCGGCGATGGATCTCATCAGAAGCAGGTTTTGTAAAGGTCAATGTGGACTTTGGTGTCTGTCTAGATCATAACCTCGACACAGCTGCATCAATCTGTCGCGATAGAGATGGAGCATATATATGATCTTCAGTTCTGGTGGTGCATGGATTGGTTGATCCGTCTACATTGGAAGCTCTTGCAGTTAGGGAAGGTTTGGCATTGGCTCAAGATTTAGCCATGCAACATATTCAGGTGGCTTCTGATTGTAAGCAGGTCGTCAGCCACATTCGTCAAGGTGTTGGAGGGAACTATGGTGGGATTGTGAAAGAGATTCTAGAAACTTCTAGTGTTTTTACATCTTGTAATTTCTTATTTGAACCTCAAGCTTCTAACTTTGAAGCTCATAACATAGCTAGGTATGGTGTTTCTCTTCCTCAAGGGAGGCATTTGTGATTGGGCACTCCTCATGACCCGACCATCATTCCTGTAAACATTGTGATACATCAATAAAGAACCTAACTTTGTTGGCTCAAAAAAATCTCCTAAAAAAACCTGGCGTCTGTGCTCCACTCAAAGAAAAAAAAAACTAGCGTTTGCGCAAATTAAGGAAGACAGGAAGGCATGCGCTAATTATAGGCTAGCTCAGGATGGCAGTCTTTGTGAAAAGGATATGGAAAATGGATTGATTACTCCAAAGTGTCCCTCAAGAAAAAATATCCCGTCAAGAAAAAAAATCCCTCAAGAAAAAATGGGATTACTCCCAAGTTAAGCATCTTCCAAACCGATGGATCTCACTTTGCTTATGAATATCGAGTGCAAGTACAATATGCAACACATGTTTGTTAAAAGCTGGAGTCGCATAATTTAAAAATATTGACAACTTTAACAGAGGTGTCTCATTATCAACATTTAATCACGTCTCAATGGGATACAAATGACGTTAGACATAAAAGTGAATTTTGTCTCTCTCTCTCTCTGTGTATGTATGTATATGTCTCTCTCTCTCTCTCTCTCTCTATATATATATATATATATATATATATATATATATAGTGTGTGTGTGTGTGTGTGTGTGTGTGTGTATTTACTGCCTCCCAAACGGAATCAAAATAATTTAGAAATTTACAATGCATATTCATGAATTATTTCAGGTTTACCAAAATTCTAGGTACTTACTTCGGGGAGAATATCCGGTGCACCGGACCTGGGGGCTACACATTTAAATGTTTGAAGAAATCTAAAAAATAGCACATGCACACAAATTCAGGTTATGTTGTAATAAAAAATTAAATCAATATACGAAACATATGTTGAGATACAAAAATGACTGCGTCATCGCCGAGCTTCCTCGGATCAGCCAGCCAAACAGGAGATATGTGGGAGCCAGCCAAACAAGAGGGCCCAGCGACCTCAAGACTCGGAGCTAATTAAGGCAAGGATAACACATGAAACGGCATCCGGTTCGATCAGGCAACGGCTCCACATCGGCGGCTCCTTCTCCTTTCTTCGTTTAACTTTCCTTTCCGGGAACAGTGTGTATCAAACCTTTTTTATCTGTAACCCAGTGAATTCGAGAGAGAACTATATCGGGAACGTAACATTCTTCCTCCTCCAACCAACTCTTTCCCCCTCGCGACCCCACCCTCGTACGGCTGATCGTCTCTACTTGCGGCCAGTGGCGCTGCCGCGCTCCGCTCGCCGACCCGTTTTGCCCGAGCCGTATTGCCGTCGCCCCAACCTTCCCGTAAATTCCGACAGGGTTCCATCGCCAACAACTTCCCTGTAGGCCGTAGCCTACCTGCACCTGAACACATCAACCTCCGATTCACCTCCACCGGCAACGCCGCTGCCACGTTGTCCTGGCTCCAGGTCGCTCGTGGCTCGGCCTCCCTGGCGTCCCCGTGCCTCGCAGCCCATCTTCACCTCGGGGTTGCGCAAATCGACTGGCTTTTTTCGATCAACTCAAATCGACTGACGCGAGTTGCAAATTCCGGTAACTTGCCAATAGCAAACACGCTAAACTAATGATGCAATCAGTGGACGAATATTAGGAGGACATGGAACAACGAAAGTAGGCCCAACTGCTTCCGTTCTTGGATGCACGTTTTGGCAAAGAATCGAAACGACCCACTCTCACACGGACCGCATGTACGTGTTTTTTCTAGGCTGACCGCATGTACGTGTTATTGCCACAAAATGATGCTCCGCACAGCCAAATTGTGTGGGTAAAATGATAAGTGCTCAATTTCACTAATCAAATGAATGAAAATAGACGAATTGACAGTAGCTTGGATGGTTATGATCTTGTGGTGGAATCAGCTTGGGGTTCACGTTCTAGACTTGACAGTAGTGCTCTCATGTCTCTTAATTTATTTCATACTTTCTGGCAATGTTTGTTTAGTGAGAGATGACGTTACTATCGATAATAAGGCCTTAGTGACGACTTCATTAATCCTAAGATGTTATATGTGCATATTGTGAGCATATGCTATTTTATTGTGTTAAAAAATGAACGAAAGATACCGTAGGCAGAAACGAAAAAAGACCAACTTGTTTCACGATGATCAATTACTGGGTGACTGGACCACACATCAAGCCCCTATATAAATGAGGGTTTTCGCTCTCTGTGCCGGAATGTAGACATCATCAAGGTCCAAATAGCTGTTGGACTCGCTCGTTTCAGCCGAGATATGAGACCGACGCTGCAGCTGAGTATGGGCAGGAACAGAGGAGTGGCATCTAGTCGAAATCGAGACCACAACAACACGCACGGCAGACATATAGCGGAAAAATAATATGGCGGCCACTAGCGAGACGTGATTACTCTCGTCGAGTTCGGTCCTCTCTATGTTTCTAGAGAAAAGCAAAATCCAACAACAATATTCCCCCAATTTCCTAAATTTGCCGACTAGCTGCCTAGCTAGGGTTAGCATCTCTTACACGAAAAATATATCTGTATATGTATAAAAGAGACTCGCGAGGATGCACACACGAATACACACAGCTTTCACTTTCACTTTCACTTTCGCAGCTGCGCCAAGGAAAAGAAAAGATGTCTCGATTCCCATGTATGCACTACTCGATCATATCCCAAACCAAAACACTCTCTTGATTACTTCCTGAAACCACCACACACACACGTCCATCAGCAGCTCGCAAGCTCAGCTGGTACGCAGGTACACCATGCGGCGGCTTAGCGACGCAGGGGAGGCCACGCCACTGGTCACCCCCGCGGCGGCCGCGGCGGCGGGCGGCACCTTGGCGTCGCCGGCCGCTGCGGGGAGCAACGCCAACTTCGACGCCAACATGGTGATCATCCTCGCAGCGCTGCTCTGCGTTCTCATATTCGCGCTCGGGCTCAACTCCGTCATCCGCTGCGTGCTCCACTGCGGCCGCCGGCTCGCGCCGTCGTCGAGCCTCGCGGCCAGCGCCACCGCGGCGAGGACGACGACATCCGTTCACGTGCAGGCGGGGCTCAAGAGGAAGGCGCTGAGGAAGATACCCGTGGAGGTGTACGGCGGGGCCAAGTCGTCCGGTTGCGCCCTCCCGGCCACGGCCACGGAGTGCGCCATCTGCCTCGGCGAGTTCGCCGACGGCGAGAAGGTGCGCGTGCTCCCTCGGTGCCACCACGGATTCCACGTCCGCTGCATCGACATGTGGCTCGCCACGCACACTTCCTGCCCCAACTGCCGGGCCTCGCTCGCTGAGGACGGCGCCGCCGCTGCCAACGGCGGAGGGAGATAGCGCCGGACAGGGTACGGGTTTGTAATTTCTTCTAGATAGGGAACTAAAGTGAAACGTTGCACCACTGCTTTGCTTCCTCACTAGTGTGTCTTTGGTCTGATTTTGGTTTTCGTATGGGTGGTACATGTAAATTAGTATTTACATTTTGCGATGATAGAAGGGGCTTGATGCAAATGTTCCCCGTGTCCTTGTCATTTTGGGTTGGAGCATACGATTTTTTTTTGTCATGATTCTCCCATTTTATAACTTTCTTTAAAGATGATTCGATGTTCCATTTTTTGTGTTCTAAGATGAGTAGTATTGCGCTGTTATTTTGGTTACCCAACAGCCAAGACTTTCCCAATGGACATGTCTTTTTCTCAAATAATGTTCTCTAGTGATATTTTCCTATTTACTATCTGCACGTTGCTGAACAGATATTAGTAGCTTTACTCTTATCTATAATAATGATTATTTTTTGTTTTCTGACAAAAAGGAAATAATGAGTTTCTGTTCACTAATAACATATAATAGTGTGTTTTTCACATAATAATAATTTATATTGTCTTTGTTAACTTGTGTTCAAAGCATGGTATTTCTAGCGAACGAAAGAAAATAAGCAAAGAATAGTAGTAAAATATAAGTATACCTTCTCTAGCTGTCATCGCCAATAAGAATATCTTTTCTGGCCGGTCACCACTGATAGGCTTAGACTAACTCCAACAGATCTAGTAATAACCTTTCCGTAAAAGTGCTTTTATGGAATGACCACATAATTTGCCGGAGTTGTCAGATAGTTATTTTTCTCAGTTCCCATAAAACTTCTTTCCCTAAAATCTTGTTTTCCTTTTTTCCCCACTAAACATCGTTGGGACTGCAAGCCGGTGACACAACGTTTGGAAGTGTGGCAACAGACGCCGGAGCAGGCTGACCGGTGAGGTGGTGCAGCTTGGGAGGCGCGTCGGCGGCCGTCTCGATGAGGCGGGGAAGCGAAGGCCGGCATGGTGGAGCGGAGCACCGGAGGCGGCCGTCCTAGCGGTGGCATGGTGACACAGCGGAGAGGAGCGACGGAGGGGCAACATGGCGGTGCAGGGCACACATCCTAAACTTTCATGCGGGTTTTTACCCGTCAAATTATACAGAAAGGGCTATCTTTTCGTGGTTAAGGGAAGGTGGGAGTATTTTTACGGGATCCTTTAAAATATTTCTAGGTTTATGGGATCTATTGGAGTTGCTCTTAGTGTGTTTGTCAGCCGTACATCTGACTATTCATAAGGGTGATGCCAACAGATGATCTAGTTTCAGCGAAAACAATCACCACTCGCGGGTCAAAAATTAAATATTGGCCTGTGGTGGCATAGTTATCATGACTGTCGAACGGGAGCTAATTGTTCTGTCTGTTAGTACTGTGATGAAGGTACAAATATTCTACCAACAGTGGAAGAACATCCGTGTAAACAAGCCCACATTTTGCACCCAAGTATAAAAACTCTTCACCTATATAACATAAGCCCGTCCACTTTTACACCTCTTTCAATGTATCTCTCCATTTCTCTCTTGATCCATCTCTGCCTTCTATTCTGTGTTTTGGCTCACCCTCCCCAGTGCCCCTCCCAATCTTGTCATTTCTTATTCACCCTAATTAATTCGTTCACCGTTAAGGACCTCCATCTTCGTTGCGCTCTCCATCATTGCAGTTTTCTCATTCTCGCCTATATCCTCACCAAGCTGAAGCTCCTAGTTCACATGGGCATGTCCATTGATGACCATATTTCTATGCTCATCCAACCATTGTTTAAACAAGATAATCCGAGTTTTTCTAATAGAATAACTTTGATATCGATACTAAGGACTAATGGATGTAAGAAATTGTGAAATCATTTATTTAATGGGTTCCAACAGGAAATGGGATCAACCATGAAAGAATATCATCGCATAGAAGGAAATATGAAGTTTGGTGAAGAAGGCAAGTTAATAGGGGGCGTAACAAGCTACCCAGAGTGCAAGATGACGCATGGTACGGGCGTGCCTACTTGTACTAATGGTCGTACCGCATGCCACCTGCTCCAAGCCGTCCATCTAAATAACTTCAATAAACAGGGCTACATCAGAATCTCCATAGGGGGGGCGCACCATTCGAGAAACAAAGAACTAGAAGCCATCTTCCAACCCTAGCCGCTGCCATTTCCCATCTCATCGCATCCATAGTCGCCGCCACAATCACCACAATGTTTCTCTCCAAGTTAGTCATACTTCATCAGTGTATCGCATCCGACAACTATTGTAAGATATTTTATCAATCAATCATTCATCTTGCTATCATCTTCAATGAGTTCATCTTGTGATGCGATCACCATGTGTGAGTAATTCGGTAAGGCAATAGGTTCAGTCAAGGCCTTGCAACTATAATTATTTGTGTGCGGGAACATTTGATTGATTTTGTATATTTGACGTTATTTTTGTTTGTCTGATTGCAACAGAGTTGTCTGTTGTCCGGTTCTCATAAGGACCGGTGGATACTCAGGATCCCATAGGTCCATCAAGGAGGAGGTAAAAAGTAAGGGCGCATGGAATGCTGTTCTGAACACCAATGAGAGAAAGGGTTGGTACGGTAGTGGAAATAACTCCTTGGGGATAAATGAGGTGTAGTTATTAAACGCCAATGTTGTTCTTTGGCATAATTCCTCATAACCGAGGTAACCCCGCACGATGGTAGGGGCCATCGGTTGGACAACTGACTCTCGATGTAGGTCATGAACCAGTCGTGACGTACTTTAGACACATCCCCCACTTCATCACGTAGAAAACACATCATAACGGTTGTCTTCAGGGCTATGTTTATTATCAAGATAAGATCCCAATAACAAGTATAAGGTTATGAGACTAAGACCTCATACCCATTCCTATTTTCATATCAACATTTACATTCAAAAAGGTTGTTAAAGCTCCGGTTAAAAACTGGAGTTTAATTTGATAAAATAACTTGTTTGACTCTCTGCTGTAGTGCAAATCATAATTTATGTTGTAGTATGTATTATCTAAGTTTTGACCGCCTACAAAAATTGTGCAAGTTCGATCTCAGATCAAAGCTTTGAAGTAATAATACCACAAACCACTAGCGCTTGCATGAGACCGCATGAAGGAGGCTATAAGAAATTGTCCCAACCATGAGATGGAATAATTATTAATTCTTCATATATTTTATAACGCTCTTAACCCCATGTAAATAATGATGCTTGATACAACTGCAGGAGGAAGCATTATGGGAAGACTTATTTCAGAGGCCAAGAAATTACTAGATGGTATGCAAGAGAACCATGCCCAATGGCATGTGGAGATGTCTACCACAAGAAAGGTTAATTCTATCTCCGAAGAGGAAAGTGAAGAGCTAGCCGCCAATATTGATGAAGTAATCAACATCACTAGAGTAAAGAAGATGTAAATGTGAACTACATTATCGATACCGATGTTAACTTTATTGCTCACAACAATTATAATCCTAATTGAAAAAATCAAGGCTATGCTCCTAAACTATCCTAGTGCCATATCCAACTAATCAAGGGGCACCTTCGATGGATTGAGCTATGGTAATAGAATTTCTTTGGATGAAACTCTTCAAACTTTTATGACTGCTCAAACTGAGAAGAACAAAATATTTACCGACATCTTAAAACATCATAGTGGCTTACTCAGTCAAATGACCAGTAAGATTGCTGCACTCACTAATGATGCACATGCTATAGAAGAAAGAACTTGTAGCGTGGAAGCACACCTTGCAAAAAATTGCAGAGAGCCAAAGATGGATTCTAGCCAAGTTTGATGGAAAGCTAGAACTTAATGTGGTTGAGAGTGTCATGATGATGAGAACTAGCGAAGAATCTTCAGAGGAGATCGACAAGACACATGTACCATAACCTTCATATTTTGTTGTATACTCCATGAAAATGTTGACTCTCAAGCATCCACTACCTGAGGTATCAAATGATGAGGCATACAAACTCTTTGTTGATCAAGTTGTAGATAAGGTACCTGAATTGGGTGCTGAAAATTTAAAATTATATGGTAAGCTTCCTGCTAAACAAGAGGATATATTTGAGCCAACTATTAAAATTGAGATTAGGTTGTATAAGTTCAATGCTTTATGTGATCCAGGTGCTAGTGGTTCTACTATCACTAAGTCCGTTTATGAAAATCTCAATCTTGGTTTGTTTTTTACTAGTGAAATTAAGTTGAACATGGCCAATTCTACCTTTATGCAATCAGTAGGGATCAAGCATGGTATAGTCATTCAAATTAATGATTGACATGTTGTGATTGATCTTTTCATAGGTGATATGCCTGAAGATCCCATTGCACCAATTATACTAGGTAGGTTGTTCTTAAGGACCATTGAAGCTACCATTAATGTTTTTGAAAATAAACACTTCCCTTGGAGAGAGAAGTGAAGATGTACATAGGAGACCGTATCACCCTAAACGCTAGGAGCTGCGGGCTAGGCGTTCTTGCACCAAAATTGAAGTAACTATTTTTGCACTACGGTCGAGCTAACCATCCTAAAACAAAGCATTTCATGGGAGGAAGCCCATGTGAATAAGGTAGAGAATAAGTTTGTTTTGCTTTTGTTGTGTTTGTTTTAATAAAGATTGTTGTGGTTTAGTTTGAAAGATAAGAAGAAGATGTTCGCTACCAACATCGTTTATGTTAAATGGTTGTTATGTATTGTGCGTGTATCATAAACTTCTGGAATGTTGCCTTTTCTTCATGTTGGAACTAACCTCTTGGGTTTACGAAGAAAAGCTCAGCTCAGGGCATCCAGGGAAATGGACGACACAAGGTACATCCTGATGTCTACTACACAACCTTCTTCTTGTAGACATTGTTGGGCCTGCAAGTGCAGAGGTTTGTAGGACAGTAGCAAATTTCCATCAAGTGGATGACCTAAGGTTTATCAATCCGTGGGAGGCGTAGCATGAAGATGGTCTCTCTCAAACAACCCTGCAATCAAATAACAAAGAGTCTCT